AGAGTCCATGCATGCGTGGGTAAATTACCATAATAGATAGATAGATAGATAGATAGATAGTAACCGAACGATAAATAGACATGACATAGATCGTGTTGTGGCCTTGTTAGGGCCAGAATTAAAGGCACAAGAGAGGAATTGAGTTAAACAAACATATTAACAGAAAACAGTAATACAAACATATACAAACGAGAGTGTTACAGCAAGAATGTTCGGTCCGACTGTCAGAGCTGACTGCTGGAAACTTCATTCTCCCAAAAGGCAGTACCTGCTCCTATTTATAGCTGGGAGAATCAATGCGTGCGTGGGTAAATTGCCATAACAACACATAATGAGGAAAGAAAGCTTGGAGAATTTAACTCGCTCAGGATATACTGAAGGCAACAAGAGGAAGAGGGCAGCGGTAAGTAAGCTACCTAACAAGTTTAGTTAAATGAGTGACAGGACAAGAATTAAAGAGACAGTGTAAACAGTCAAACGTTGCTAAGATCTACAGAGAGTGGATGTTTGGGAGAGCTGTGACCGCCCAAATCCTGAATGGACACTGCATATAAAGGGACAATTTGCGTTTCTTAACTCTTTTCACCTCGATATTGTTTTGCAGAAAAGTTTAGGCTCGCCATACGTAAGAAAACTCCAGCAAATTTGATCGATAAGTGTTTATCAAGTCAGAGACGAAACTAAAAAAAAAAAAATCGAAAAGCCGGTAACGATAAATTGTATTTAAAGTTTGATATAATCAGCGATATTTCTTTTCGAAATGACGTCAAAGTTTGTTTTTCCGACGCTGGAAAATAATTTTGAACAATGGCAGACGCAGTATCGCTGAGGTGTGGGTGGCACTCTGTTCGGGCATATCTATAAAACTCACATACAAATAGAGACAAACACACACACACACACACACACACACACACACACACATATATATATATATATATATATATATATATATATATTTCAAATTCAAATTCCGCTCTAATGGTCACTTTATATGTGAAATAGACGCCCCATCTCATTTATTAAACATTGCGTATAATGTCTTTCATCCCACGCCTTCCAGAAATCCCAGTAAAGTAAATACGAAGTATTTGATGTAATATAGATGTATTAAAAATAAATCCATTTATTCTTTATTATATATATATATATATATATATATATATATAGATAGATAGATAGATAGATAGATAGATAGATTGACAGAAAACATACGGCTAGAAGACTATCGCTGCTTAGTTTTGACCGATTATGGCTACTTTTATATTTACATACGATTTAATCCTGATAATGAACACTTCTACCCATAAATACAGCATAACTTTATGCTATTTTTCTCACATTATATATGTGTGTGTGTTTGTGTGTGTGTCTGATTGTGTGTGTGTGTGTGTGTGTGTATAAGTGGACATTGAACATTCAGAGGCAGCAAACTCTTTCATGCTAAACGTAAACGTTATGCCATATATATATATATATATATATATATATATATATATATATATATATATATATATATATTCAAACATGTTTCATTGAATATATATTCAAACATGTTTCATTGAATAATATAGTATACTGTGTCTACTTATTTTAAAACTGATCCTTCCCAGTTGTCTAATTGATTTCTTGATCTTAAGATGAAATTCATCAAGGAAGACGCCGTAGTTTTTTCCAACCCAAGTACTTTCGATCTTTTCTAAGATCATCTTCAGAGGGAAATTGCAAAGATTTACTTATTGTAACTGCGCTAAAATCTGCCTTCCGTTGTGACAGTTTTAAATACGAACGTGCTTTGTTATAGTTATTTTAGAATTTTAAGTTTATCAGTTGTAGCTATAAAGTTTTTTTACGACACGAGAGTTTCAAGAGAAGGGGGATCACAGAGAAATTGGCAGGAATAGATAATGGTATTAAATGTTTGTTAAATGCACTTCAATATATTGTTGCTATATTCGTAACAAATTTTGTTGAGTGTTGGTGGGTTGACTTTAATATAGATGGTTTCAAGAATTTTAAGGCATGTGTTAAGAACTACGCAACTTTTCCGTATAATAATCTTTTTTTTTCTATTTTTTTCTTGCTTTCTCTCAAGTTTTTTTTTTTATATTTGGGCTTAAGTTGTTGAAAAAAAAAGAATTTAATATTTTGTCGAGCGCTTTCGATTGTCTTATCATGGCTTTATGTTTTGGCTTGAAGTATCTTGTTTATTATTTTATATTTACAGATAATATTTGGGGTGTTTAGACACTGTTATTGGATTAGTTCATTAGTAATTGGGCGTAGATTGGTATTCATTATATGGAGGATTAGTTATCAAAGATATTTTAAGATGTTTCTGCCAGTATTAAATGCTATTTTATATACATACATGCATACATACATACATACATACATATAAAAGTGAACATTGAAGTCAATACTCAGAGACGACAGATTGTTTCTCTGATATTGTGCACATTATCACATAGCATACCTAAATTATATTTGTTTTATATAT